TCGATATTAAGAAACTCAATGAGGCTAGTTAATAATTTAGAAACTACTAACGGAAAAAATGTAGATATCKTACATTACCTACATCTATGTACTTTGGATATAATATACGGTGAGATTTGGAATTGTTTCTTAAATGTTTCAAATATTTCTAAAATGTAAGTAAATTTATTAAAATTTGTTTTCTTTCTTCATTTACAGATGGCTTGTTAGGCAACGATTTAGATTTGCAGAATAATCCGGAATGCAAACTTAATGAATATATAACAGAGTAATATAATAAATAGAGTATTTTAATATTTGTAAYATAATTTAACGTTATTGCATATTTGTTTTTTTATTGTTTTTTATTCTTATTCAGATCGATGGAAAAAGTTATGAAAAGGGCTTTCCAATTTTGGTTACATCCAGATATTATATTTCGCAATTCATATTCAGGAAAAAGACTAAAAAAACTGACTTCACGCATTGATAAGATTACGAGCGAGGTATTAACAAAAAGATCAATCCTATTTCTCAAATTGTCTTAATTTACCTAAATATTCTATTTCTAAAACAAAATTATATCATACTAATAATTATAACATTTATTCGTCAAGATTATAAGGAAAAAAAAAGCATCGATGGAAGTTAATAAAGTTACTGAAGAATTGCAACAGTTAGATGCAAGTAAGAATAATTATTTTTAAAAGTATGCTTTTGTTAATGAATTTATGGATATAATCCTTTTATGAGAATTCTAAAAAAATGTTATYATTCTTTTAGATGAAGGAAAAAACACGAGTATATTTCTAGACCTATTATTCAAATCATTTTACGAAACAGGAGAATATTCGGAGGAAGATATTCGTGATGAAATTCATACATTTATTTTTACAGTAAGTTGAGTTTATTGTAGATAAAATGCAATTTCTTTCTACTGAATAAAAAATAATAATTTTTGTTACTTTTTAGGGGGAAGCGACACTATGTCTGGAACACTTGGTTTTGTATTTTTAATGGTTGCTACATTTCCGGAAGTTCAAGTATGTACAGATAGCATTTAAATAGTTCATCAAAAATTAAATATATTTTCATACTAATCTTTTATCTTCTTATTTTTCTCATTTCTGATTGCAGCAACAAATATAGGAAGAGTTCTACCAAATGTACGGTTCGAGCGATCCAGAAGATGTCTTGAAGATATTAAAAAAATGAAGTACTTGGAGCGTGTTATCAAGGAGACATTACGTCTCTCCCCTGCTGGTCTTTCCCTGTTGGCTCTTCACTCTGGTAAGGACGGACTCACTAGGATAATTACGCTGAAGACTGCTAACTCAGTACTTACTAGGCCGATTGCAAAGCTAGCACTTCTTCCTACCCAGCCCTAGGGATACCACGACCAACTACATCACCAACTCTGTCGCTGATGGCGAAAGAATGTTGAGAATCAGCCTTGTTGCTGAGCAGATTGTAATATCGCAATCGGCACACCCGAGGTGAGCACCTCTTGGCGAATCTTTGGCGCTCCGACTGGCGGTGGTGCAATCATTACATGTGATTGGACAGCCGTCCTGCCAATAGAAAGCCGCGACATCCCAGGCAGAGGAAAAAGGGACTAGGGAGCGGGCAGAGGAGTTAGTAACAAAGTAGAGCGGATGGAGAGAGAAAAAGACACATGTACTCGTTGTAAAGATTTGTTATTCCAACGTTGTTAAAATATATCGTTGTTATTTGTTACACGAGTGATATTAATTCTTGTTATCCGCCTACGTAAAACCTATAATTTCCCTATGCTATTATTTGGCTAATAGAGCACGCCACAGACTTATAGCATGCTAAACTATGTTAAATAATTTAGCGAAAGAGGTGAACAATGTTATATAAATATTTTTTTAATTTTAAGTAACTAACAACAACTTGTAAAAATTTAACACCAACTTAATAGTAATGTTAATATAATCAAGATTTTTTTTTTTCTTATCCAAAATTTATTAATATTATTACTAAGTTTACTCTTAGGGAGGTTGTTTTTTGGACGGGTTTAATTAAGATGAACACAATATTTATCCGTTGAACGTTTCGTCTCTATTTGAGACTTCCTCAGCAACTAAAATTATTTATT